AGAACTCCCTGTTTCTAATTTCTGTGCAGAGTTAGGAAAAATGGGGAAGAGCCCAAAACAGGTATGTGAAATGCTTTCTTCATTTTCTCTTAACCTCAGGAAATACAACTGGAGTTTAAGTTTGTGTGAATCAGGAAGACTCTAAGTGAGACGCCAGTGGCTCATGTGTCCCCCACACGAAGAACCCCAACTTATGAAAATGGCATCATCAGGAGGAAACAATCGTATGTGGCACAGGCTGTAAAACCATATGATAGCACCCCCTGGCCACCTCCAATAGGTCCCCAAAACCACCAGTATTCCCATTATGTGTAAGTTACAGCCTTGGAGATTGTACCACAACTACAAAATTTAAAAATTGCTATTGTCAATACAAAATGTTAAATATGAAGTGGGATATATTGTTTCATTTTTCCCCCCACTCTTTTGGAACTTTCCTTTTTCAGTTTTGGAAGTTTCTATTGACACATCCTCAAGTTAGGGATTCTTTTCTCAGCTGTGTGCATTCTACCAGTAGGAATCAAAAACATTCTTCATTTCTCTAACAGCAGGTTTTTCTTTTTCTTTTTTTTTCTGAGATGGAGTCTCGCTCTGTTGCCCAGGCTGCAATGCAGTGGCAAGATCTTGGCTCACTGCAAGCTCCATCTCCCGGGTTCATGCCATTCTCCTGCCTCAGCCTCCTCAGTAGCTAGTACTACAGGTGCCTGCCACCACGCCCGGCTAATTTGTTTGTATTTTTAGTAGAGATGGCATTTCACTGTGTTTGCCAGGATGGTCTCGATCTCCTGACCTCATGATCCGCCCACCTCGGCTTCCCAAAGTGCTGGGATAACAGTTGTTAGCCACTGTGCCGGCCATCTCTGAGGGATTTTAACGAGTTGTTGACTTTTGAGTTTGTTCCACTGTTTACTTACTGTTAGAACCGACTGACAAATTTCAAGCCTGTTATATGGCTGACAGGAAACCAGAAGTCTCTAGGAAGTGGCTGGAGAATGTGAACTCCACAGTAGGTTGAGGATGGAGTCATGAGTGAAATGGGTGAAATCAGCCCATTGACTCTGAAGACTGCAGGCCTGCCCAGCCTCTAACACCCTGGTGAGTCAGCGCAAAGATTACAACAGTGACAGCAAACTAGCATGGCTGACTCCATCTGGCATCTAGTCTCAGGCTGGCTGCCCTCACTCATTCCTGGACATAGGCCAGGCTAACCATGGGTGGAATGTAGTTTATGGATTAACTTTGAAGCAAGAATGATAATAGTTCCTCCATAACACTAATACCCTTATTTTGCCCACCGATTGCCTTTGTAAAACTGGTGAAAGACCATGAGACTAAGATTATTGGAGGGAACTGAATTCTGCTAACATGTAGGCACAGTTTCTATAATCCCTTACTCCTCAAATGTCATTTGGCCAGAGTTTACAAAGTTTGTATCTAATTGCTCCTGTAGATAACATCACTATTGTAGAACCTGAGATTGGTGTTTTGATGTTTCTCATTCTTTGCATTCTGTCAACCCGCTGACCTCATCCATACCCATGACTAATGGCTCAGCCAGTCACGTGGTCCCCACCTAGAGGCAGATTCAAGCACAAACAGACCATTTCCCTCCGCCCGCATGATTTCATCCTGAAACAGTCAGCAGTACCCATTTTTTAGTCCTGTGCCCCTGAAACTATCCTTGAAAATCTCTAACCCCTGATCCACTAGGGAGGCTGATTTGAGTAATAATAAACCTCCATCCTCCTGTTTGGCAGACTTGGACTCATTAAAATCTTTCTTTACTGAAAATCACCATCGGGATAAATTGGTTTTGTTTGTGCAGGAGGCCAGAAGAACTTGTCTAGGAATTATAAGAGAGGATGGAGGAGCTGCCTATCCCTGTCCCATTGTCTTGTCCCCAGAACAGCCTCACAAAAGGACAGAGCCCTGAATGGGAATACAGTGGAAGCTTATTCTCTTAATGACCTGGGGACATTGGCTCGAGATGAAGATTGGCAGGAGTGGAAACTCGAGGTGATTTCTGTGCCTTTCCTATTTCCTGGGAGGTGGGCCAGGCCACAGTGTTAGCAGGAAGGGAACAGAACAGTTAGCCTAGTTAGACGGAGTGTCTGGGGAAGGCCTAGGGTTGGAGGAAGAAGCTGTGTAGGACAGGGCTTGCCAGTTAGAATGAAGTGGGAGGAAGATGAGGGACACAGAGAAGCAGAGAGAGGCAGAGGCAGCATGGCAGTGAACAGTGGGGTCTAGAATGACTTCAGAGACCCCAGGGACCAGGTGTCCCCAGTTCCACAGGCGGTCCAGGACCAGGAGCCCTGAAAACCCTCCAGTGGCCAAGAGCTTCAGGAGCTATACACATGAAGTGGGGTGGCTTTAGGGGCAGAGAGGTAGTGAGGGGATGAAACATGGGGTGTCAGCCTCTGAAGGAAAAGGGACAGGTGTGGCTAGAACTTCTGATTCTGCATCCAAGATTCAGTGGGGTGGCTTTAGGGGCAAGAGGTAGTGGGGGGATGAAACATGGGTGTCAGCCTCTGAAGGAAAAGGGACAGGTGTGGCTAGAACTTCCTAGGATTCTGCATCCAAGATTCAGCCTCTAAAGAGGTTATGAATCATTTGTTTCTTCATTCAATTCCTTCATTTGTTATGTGAGAGCTCCTGAGTGTGTGTCTCTCACTGGGCCTGTGCTGGTGCGGGGTGTGTGTGGTGAAAGAAAACAAGGTCCTGTCCTTTATCCTGTCATGCCAGTGACATGGACACTTTGGGAAACATAGGATTTCAGGTTCAGTGATAGGAGTTAAGATCTGAGGTGGAGGCCTGGACATTTTTTTGCACTGACTCTGACAGTTGAGGCAGGTAATTTAGTTCTGGAGTGCAGACTAATCAGCTGAGCATTTGCTCTCACTCCTCTGAGGTTTGGATGCCTAAGAAGAGAGGATTTGAGCCAATAAATGACTATGGGGTCCTTGGAACCCAATAAGCCCTCACTTCTGGTGGAGGAGAGGATGGGCCTGTGGCTGCAGACAGACCTCATGTGACCCTGATCTGCCTTTTGTGTTTGTGTGACTCTGGTTCAGTGGCTGTGCCTTCCTGTGCCTCAGTTTTTTCTCAGTCAAATAAGCTAAATGGCAAATGGACTATGGCTTTTCATGCTATCTGTGAATAAATTGTAAATTCTTCACAGTCACCTGACCTAATGCTTAGCACAGTGGAGGTGTTCACACAAACAGCATTTATTATTATTCAGTCTCATGAGAGAGCACCTTTAGGTCAGATCCCTGTGGACAAGCTGCTGCCAGGTACATTTTCTCTCTTCTGTTTCTGCTTCTGGGGACATTAGAGTTTCTATGGAGTGTCCTAAGCCTCACAAGGCAGTTGACTGATGGCCTACAAAGTTTGTCTTTCTGTCCTCTCCACTCTGAGTCTCAGGTGAAGAAAGCTCTGTCCTTGCCCAGATGAGGCTCTGAGGGCTGCTGGAGGCGCCTTTACATTTGTTACCTGTGTTCCCAGGTAGAAGCAGCTTCCAAGGAGACTTTGGGAAGTCTTCTCTCATTGTGCAGTGCTTTATTTGCTTGAGCTCTGCCCGGTCCCAACAAGCCCTGCACCGCCCAACACAGAGCTTTTAACGCTTTCTGCTTTCCTCGTTTTCCCATCTGAGTAAGGATTTGGGACACGAGGGTCTCCCAGGAACGCTTTCAGGCTAAGCTTCTCTGAGAGTATCTCCAGAGGTCCTCTTTGGCAGCTTCTCAGTTCTCCGAGGAGTCTTTCACGAGGGTCAAATTTATGAAAGAGGTGCTGGGCTGAGGTTGATCTCCTACTGCACAGGCACCCCACCAGCCTCTCCAGGCTGTCCTTCCTGTGCAGCAAGTGTCTGCATTTCTGAGGGTCAAATTTATGAAGAGGGCATGAGGTGCTTGGCTGAGGTTGATCTCCTCCTGCTGAGCACCCCCCACCCCATCAGACTGTCCTTCCTGTGCAGCAAGTGTCTGCAGGGTCTGGAGGCAGGAAAGGAATTCTGGTCTGTTAAAGTTTGTCTCCTCTGTGTGTGTCCTACACTAAATGCCAAAACCCCAACATGGGACATAATGCAGAGAGGGACACAGGCACAGTCCAGGCCTGACCATCCTGTGTGTGCAAAATAGAAGTGACCCCCACCCTCCAACACCCAGGGATCATGTGGAATCACTCACGGTATAAGGTGAAATGTCCAGTTACTCCTTTAGTCTTATCACCTCGCTTTATGATTTGTATGGTGTAGGATCCTGTGTCCTTCTGGGTGACATTCTGGATCAGTAGGGATGCATTGGAATATACTGTTTCTCGTCCACTGTATGCAGGCCCAAATATAATTGTTTCAGCATCTCTTACATATGCTGTAATGTAATATTGGAGGTCCATTATTTGCCCTTTTTACCAGATGCAGGCAGCAAGATTCTGGGGCAAATTGTGGACAAGTAGAAGAACATCCTTCCCCTCGGAAACTTTGGCTGGCTGGGCTTCAATCACAACTTGGGCAGTAGTGGGCGGGTTCCAGAAGATTAAAAGTGATGCTAGGAGGTGGAGAGAGCATCAGTCAATATTGAGACCTATGTATTGGGGTGAAAAGATGGGGTCCTGGGTCCTGAGAGGATCTCTTCAGTCATCAGCCTTGAAAACACACACACACACACACACACTCAGAAACACACACATATACCTTTTGTGTGTGTGTGTTTGTGAATGTGTGTGTGTGTGTCCTACTGTCCTACTGGGTCAAGGTCAGCAGCACGACCCCCATTCCTTCAACACTTCCGACCTTGGCATTTGTCTGTTTGGAATACTCTTCCCCAGGGGTCTGCACAGCTCTCTCCACACTGCCTTCAGGTCCTGCTCACATCAGGGCGTCCTTAGACTTCTTTCCTGACACTTCCTTCGGAGACCCTGGGTCTTCCCTTTCTGGTCTTTCCCTGCTCTGCTCCCTCCGGAGCTCTTGTCGACACCTGACCTCACATTCTAGATCTCTTTGCATGTCTGCCTTCCTCCCCATGACAGCATGAGTTCCATAAGGACAGGGACTTTTGATCGTGGTTGCACATCAGTGCCTTGGAGAGGCTATAGATTCCTGTACATGTGAGAGTTCCCAGGGTCCAGCCTGCCCAGAGTATTTTTTTTTGGCTTTCTCCAATTGTTGAGGTTTTTTGCTGAGGACAGTGTTTCATGCCCTGCTTATATTTTCATTTGAAGTGTCATCTGATAGTAGTTATTATTATCATTTTTCAAAATGTGGTGTCCAGTGATGATTAACCAGCAAAAAGGAACACTTGAGATTTTCCTACCTCTTACCAATTCCAGTGCAATGTGATTTTCCTGTTTTGACCCCTGTCCCTCTCTGGTATATTTTCCCCTATCCAGGCTCCAACAGAGCCTTCTTTCCTGTATTTTTTTTTTTTCTTTTTGAGACAGAGTCTCGTACTGTCGCCCAGGCTGGCATGCAGTGGCGCCATTTCAGCTCACTGTAACCTCTGCCTCCCAGGTTCATGCAATTCTCCTGCCTCAGCCTCCCGAGTAGCTAGAATTACAGGAGCACACCACCACACCTGGTTAATTTTTTGTATTTTTAGTAGAGAGGGGACTTCACTATGTTGACCAGACTGATCTTGATCTCCTGACCTCATGATCCACCCACCTCAGCCTCCCAAAGTGCTGACTTCTTTTATTTTTTAGAACCGCATCCTCCTCAGGAAACCCCATCCAATCATTCTGCTTCCTCCTCCTGTCCTCTCCCAGGAAGTTCTCTCCTCACCTGTGAGCAGGAGCTCCTTCCAGGTGATGTGCAGTGTGTAGGGAGGGGCTGAGAGGGGCCCCATGGCCTGTGCTGCCTGCATGTTCTCCTCTGTGGAGATGATCCTGGGATCCAGAAACTTTGTGAGCACGGCTGTCAGCTGTGCTGTCCTTCCTCCTCCTGTGCTGAGCCTCTTCCCGGGGCAGGAGCACTTCTCAGGCTCATGGGTGGGGTCTGTGCCCAGGACACCTCTCTGTCCCCTCCCCTCTCTGTCCAGCCTCCTTGTCCTTCCTTCTCTTTTTCCTTTTGTCTGTGTGTCAGGTCCCTGGGAATTGTGGAGGCCTCTGCCTTTTTCAACAGTGATTCTGTTACCAAACCTCAACACACACTATGTGCAGAAACACAAACACACACACAAAAGAGACACACACAGACACACACATACCCTGTAGGTTGGGCAAGCACAGTCCTGGGCCTCAGCCTCCTGCTGTCCCAATGGCTCTGGTTTGGGGTGCACATTCATACCCTTTGCCCTCTTTCGTCCCCATCTGCCTCTCCCCTTCAGTGCAGGAGGTTGGAGCTGCACCAGGTCACTGTCACAGGGACACCCCATTGTGCTGTGGGTGAGTTGTGTGTCACCTGGTGACAGGAACCCTTCGTTTCTCTAATTGTGTCTAGCTTGACTGCAGCTTCCAAGGATGGATATTCAGGACCTGGGTTTCCCAGAGGAAACTGTCCTTCCTGGAGGTGTGCAGGGTGAATCTCTCAAGCCCCTTGGGAGGAGAGCCTGTGCTGGTTGCTCAGTGGGGGCTGTGAGTCCCATGGTCAAAGGGACCGTTCTCAGTCACTCTATTGTTCCCTGGGGTCTGGTGGCTGAGCTGGGCCTCAGGGTTTCTCATTTCTTCCTGACTATCTTTGGTGTCCTCTCTTCTCTGCCCATCTGATTGTCCTGTGGACACCACACCTTCCCCATGGTGGTGCAGGAGGAGGTGGGAAGTTACCCAGGAACCCTGTGGAACATGGCTTGTTGAGACGCAGAACAGGAGCCTGGGACAGAGCAGGGGCTCAGAGCTGGAGAGATTCATCCCGACTTATTCCGTGGTCGTGATGGGCTCAGTCCTCCATGTGCTAACATACCCAGGAGTCTGTCCTGAGGGTTTTGACCTGGCCAAGCTGCTCTCTAGAGGAGGAACAGGCAGTCGCCAGAGAGCCTGTCTGGAGGGACATTGCTCACACCTGAGAGGGCACATGGGGGTGAGTTGTGTTCTGGGAGCAAAGAGCAATAATACCCCCTTCTTCCGGCAGGCACACTGGAGAGGTCTGTCTTCCCAAGGGACAGGCGGGGATAGGTGGCCACATCCTGGATGATGCCTGTGTGTGACCATCACATGCGCTCTGAGCCCCCCGGGGGGCAGCGGGTAGACAGGTCATAGGGTGCCTGACTGATTCCCGGGGAGGCTGTGGGCCCTCAGGCAAGCTCTGGTCTGTGTCAGCACTAGGCTTGGCCTGGGATGCCCCAGAGAACAGGACAGATGGAGCGTGGACGGGCATTTAGGGAGCAGTGACAGAAAGAGTTGATGAGGATGTAGGGAGGTCATGAGGGGAAAGCGCCCAATGTGGAGTCGCGTGCACCAGCGCTGCCCTGGGAGATGTCTTTTTAGCTGATCCCAGGGAAGGAGCAGGTGTGTGGGGCAGGAGCTGCCTGCAGAGGGAGTGGTGTCAGGTTGGCGGCCGCCAGGTCGGGGAGGAGCTGACAGAGTCCATGTGGGGAGCACGGAGGACGTTGAGGACTTGTGCCGAGGTGACCCTGGTGAGGGTGGACCCTTCTCGGCTATAGTTTCAGATGAGGGAGGTCGGCATCCCCTGGGAAGGCTCCAGGCTGGAGGGACTCTGCCGCCCACTGGTGGACGGCAAGGGAAGTGTGGGTGGCCCTAGTCCCAGGCCAGGCTGCGTGTTTTATTCCACAAGGATCTGCACATTTCACACGAGGTCACACATATGTTATGTTACAGCTCCATCACCTTCCAGCCCTGTGAGTCCCATTCTCTGTAGCTCTATGTTCACTGTTCTCCCTCTTTCACAATCGGGAGTCCCAAACGCAGATTTTTGTCACCTTCTGTGAGTTTGTGTGTGTGTGCAGTAGGCAGCACTGTGTATACCCTGCGGGCAGTGATGTCTGGGGCTGAGCACTGCACATGGGCTTGGGAGCAGAAGAGGGAGCAGCAGGGCGGGAGGATCAATGCCACGGGAGCAGGGGACAAGTCATTTTCATTTTCTCACTCCCAGGGACCAGAACCCAGGATTCTGACTCCAGGGCACAGTACCACACCCTGCTGGTGTCCCTGGATGTCATGAGTGCTTATAGTGTCATGCTGCCTTGGCATTCATTTTTTAAGGTGTAAATATTTGCCTCACATCAGAGGCAGGCCTTGCTCACCATGGCAGTTTTCAATACTCTATCTGGTTCAAGTGGCTCTAGTTGGTGGCCAGAGATAAAATCTTAGAGGCATCTCTCCTGCTTGGTGTGCTGGGCTCCCCTCTCTCCAGCTGCTTTCTTTAAATGGATAATTCTGACGTTTGCCCTCACATTTAAAGTGACCACTTGTCAGTCACAGCATGATCTCCTTGTCCCAGTGTTTGCTGCTTGCTTTAAACACATCCATTAAAGCTCCCTGCTGGAAACCTGTCAGATAACACCTGGACTTACTAAAGCCAGGCTTACCAGTCTCTTCTCTCCTCCCTGCCTGGGCTCACTGACCTCTGTATCTGTGGTCTCCAGGTGTGCCGAGTGCTCCCCAGTGTCTGTAAGTAGTAAAAACACTTACATTTTCACGCCGTGGTTGTATAACTATAGCCTCACATGCCATCCAGGGCCTGACATCGAGGCTGCCCTATGGGATCTTTGCTGGTTGAACCCCTGCTGGAGTTCTTGTTTTGGGACCTCTGGTTCTTCTGGGGACAGGAGCTTCCAGCTAACTTGATTGAAAAACTGATACATTTCATTGAAAACACTGGGCTAGGTGATGTATTCATGGACTTCAGCTGCCAAAACAGACACATTAGCCTGGGTGAATTAAATAATAGAAAATTTTTTTCACAGTTCTGTGAATAATGTGCTATTTTAACCACTTTCAAATGTGCAATCAAGTGGAATTAACCATATACACAATGTTCAGTTACCATCACCACTGTTTTTCCTAGAAAATTTTTATCATTTTAAAATGAAACTTTGTATCTTTTAAACAATAATAACTCCCTGTATTTTCCATCCTAGACATTGATCATCTCTGCTCTGTCTCTCTGAATTTGCCTATTCTTGATGTTTCATATAAATGGAATTATACATATATTTTATTTTGTTTCTGACATATTTCACTTAGCATAATATTTCCAAAGTCCACGCATGTTCCAGTGGATGTCAGAGCCTCATTCCTCTTTATGGTAGATAAACATTCTATTGTATGTGTCACCACATTTGTTTATTCATGTGTTGATGAACACTTGGATTGTTTTACATTCTATCTTTTGTGAATAATGCTGCAATCAACATTCCCATGCAAGTACCTGTTTGAGTCCCTGGATTCAATTCTTTGGGTATATACCTAGGAACGGATGCTGTTTCATATGAGAATTCTATGATTAGCTTCTTGAGGAACAGCATAACTGTTTCTCCTAGTGGCTACACAGTTTTATAATCTCACCAGCAATGTATGAGGATTCCAAATTCTACATAAGGCTTTCACTTGTTATTTAACATTTTAAAAGAATGTTAGCCATATTTGTAGGTGTAGTGTGTGATCTCATTGTGGCTTTAACTTTGTATTTTCCTGATGACTAATGATGTTGAGTTTCTTTTCATGTCCCTCTTGATGATTTGCATATCTTCTTTGAAGAAATGTCCATTTGAGTCCTTTGCCCATTTATATAAATTGGGTGGTTTGTCTTTGTGTTGTTGAGTTGTAGCAGTTCTTAATATATTCTGGGCATGAAAGCATTGTCTATGTGATTTGCAACTATTATGTGTCATTCTGTGTTTGGTCTTTTTATTTTCTTGATAATATCCTTTGATGCACAAAAGGCTTGCATCTTTAGCCCAATTTATCTATTTTTCCTTTTTGTTTCTCATGCATTTGGGTCATACCTGAGAATCCATTGCACATTTGAGGTCATTAAGTTTTACCCCTATATCTTTTTCTGGAATGTTTTTATGGTTATAGATCTTATAATTAACTCTTTATTGATCCATTTTTAGATAATTGTTTGATATGGTTGGCGCTTTTATAGTTCTTTAGGTTTATTGTTTTGCACGTGGTTATCTACAGTTTGTTGGTGCACCGTTGTGAGAGGATGATTGTTGCTCCATTAAATTATCTTGACACCCTTATGCAAGAGCAATGAGCTATAGCAAAAGGGTGAGGGGTTTTATTTCTGGACCCTGAAATGTGGCACAAATACACCATGGAATACTGCTTCTCACAGCCATAAAAAAGGATGCAGGATTCATGTCCTAGGTAGGGACATGGATGCAGCTGGAAACCATGTTATCTCAGCAAACTATGGCAGAAAGAGAAAACTAAACACAGCATGTTATCACTCATGGGGGTCGAACTGAACAATGAGAACACTTGGACACAGGACGAGAACATCACACACTGGGGTCTGTTGTGGGAATTGGGTGAAGTGGGGAGAGATAGCATTAGTAGATATACCTAAATGACGAGTTAACGGGTGCGGCACACCCAACTGGCACATGTACCATACATATGTAACAAACCTCCGTTTGTTGCACATGTACCCTAGAACATAAAGTATAAAAAAATTTAAAGAGACAAAGAGGAAATTAAAAAAGAAAAAGAAGAGAAATGATGGGCAAAACTGCAGTTATTGAGACTAATGTTAATTCTTTGAAGTTTTAATCTTATTCTCACCTAAGTGAGAGTACAGACACTTCAAAATATAGAGCCAACACGCTGGGAGTATTATATACTCCCACTGGGGGTACAAGGAAGCAGATAGCTCTCAAAGCAGATCATATTTTCTGCTTAAAAAGAAGATTCCAGTCTACCTGAGCGATCATAATAGAAAGTCCCTCTGCTTTAACTTTTACAAAATAACTGACCTGAAGTACTCAGTGTTAACCAATCAATTTATTCTATGGCTTTGTTTATGATTCGCACATTTAATAAACCCTATGTTTGTTTGTATTATTTATTACCGAGGTGGAGTTATCCCACTGTATCTGTAAGAGGAAGTTTT